GGTCTCCTCAGCAGAACATCCGTCCCTCAGCAGAACATGTCTCCCCAGCAGAAATCTCTCTTCAGCAGAACATCCGTCTCCTCAGCAGAACATCAGTCCCTCAGCATGAACATCCGTCCCCTCAGCAAACATCCAGTCCCCTCAGCAGAACATCCGTCTCCTCAGCAGAAATCCGTCTCCTCAGCAGAACATCAGTCCCCCTCAGCAGAACATCCGTCCCCTCAGCAGAACATCCGTCCCCTCAGCAGAACATCAGTCCCCTCAGCAGAACATCAGTCCCTCAGTCCCAGCAGAAACATCCGTCCCTCAGCAGAACATGTCTCTCCTCAGAGAACATCCGTCCCCTCAGCAGAACATCGAACCAGTCCCTCAGCAGAACATCCGTCCCCTCAGCAGAACATCCGTCTCCTCAGCAGAACATCAGTCCCCTCAGCAGGAACATCCAGTCCGTCCCTCAGCAGAACATCAGTCCCTCAGCAGAACATCCGTCCCCTCAGCAGAACATCCGTCTCCTCAGCAGAACATCCGTCCCCCTCAGCATTCTCTCCTCAGCAGAAACATCCGTCCCCAGCAGAACATCGTCCCCTCAGAAGAACATTCGTCTCCTCAGCAGAACATCCGTCCCCTCAGCAGAACATCCGTCTCCTCAGCAGAACATCAGTTGCCCTCAGCAGAACATCCGTCCCTCAGCAGATCATCCGTCTCCTCAGCAGAACATCAGTCCCCTCAGCAGAACATCAATCTCCTCAGCAGAACATCCGTCCTCTCACCAGAACATCCGTCCCCTCAGCAGAACATCAGTCCCCTCAGCAGAACATCCGTCCCCTCAGCAGAACATCAGTCTCCTCAGCAGAACATCCGTCCCTCAGCAGAACATCCGTCTCCTCAGCAGAACATCAGTCCCCTCAGCAGAACATCGTCCCCTCAGAAAACATCGTCTCCTCAGCAGACATCCGTCCCCTCAGCAGAACATCCGTCTCCTCAGCAGAACATCAGATCAGCTTCCCCTCAGCAGTCCCTCACAGAACATCAGTCCCCTCAGCAGAACATCCCCTCAGCAGAACATCCGTCTCTCAGCAGAACATAGCAGAACATCAGTCCCCTCAGCAGAACATTCCGTCCCTCAGCAGAACATCCGTCCTCCAGCAGAACATCCGTCCCTCAGCAGAACATCAGTCAGCAGAACATCCGTCCCTCAGCAGACATCCGTCCCCTCAGCAGAACAATCCGTCCCCTCAGCAGAACATCGTCCCTCAGCAGAAACATCCGTCTCCTCAGCAGAACATCCGTCTCCTCAGCAGAACATCCGTCCCCTCAGAGAACATCGTCCCTCAGCAGAACATCAGTCCCCTCAGCAGAACATCAGTCCCCTCAGCAGAACATCCGTCCCCTCAGCAGAACACAGTCCCCTCAGCAGAACATCAGTCCCCTCAGCAGAACAGTCACAACATCAGTCCCCTCAGCAGAAATCAGTCCCCTCAGCAGAACATCAGTTGCCCTCAGCAGAACATCCGTCCCTCAGCAGAACATCAGTCCCCTCAGCAGAACATTAGTCCCCTCAGCAGAATTTTCAGTCCTCTCTGCACAACATCAGTCCCCTCAGCAGAAAATCAGTCCCTCAGCAGAACATCAGTCCCTCAGCAGAACATCCGTCCCCTCAGCAGAACATCCGTCCCTCAGCAGAACATCCGTCCCCTCAGCAGAACATCCGTCCCTCAGCAGAACATCCGTCCCTCAGCAGAACATCATTCCCTCAGCAGACAGTCCCCTCAGCAGAACATCAGTCCCCTCAGCAGAACATCAGTCCCCTCAGCAGAATTTCAGTCCTCTCTGCCCTCAGCAGAAAATCAGTCCCCTCAGCAGAATTCATCCCTCAGCACATCAGTCCCCTCAGCAGAACATCCGTCCCCTCAGCAGAACATCCGTCCCCTCAGCAGAACGTCCCCTCAGCAGAACATCCGTCCCCTCAGCAGAACATCCGTCCCCTCAGCAGAACATCATTCCCTCAGCAGAATTTCAGTCCCCTCAGCAGAACATCAGTCCCTCAGCAGAAAATCAGTCCCCCTCAGCAGCATCCGTCCCTCAGCAGAACATCAGTCCCCTCAGCAGAACATCAGTCCCCTCAGCAGAACATCAGCAGAACATCAGTCAGCAGAACATCAGTCCCCTCAGCAGAACATCAGTCCCTCAGCAATCAGTCCCTCAGCAGAATTTCAGTCCTCTCTGCACAACATCAGTCCCCAGCAGAAATCAGTCCCCCTCAGCAGAACATCCCCTCAGCAGAACATCAGTCTCCTCAGCAGAACATCAGTCCCCTCAGCAGAACATCCGTCTCCTCAGCAGAACATCAGTCCCCTCAGAACATCAGAGCATCAGTCCCCTCACAGAACATCAGTCCCCTCAGCAAGAATTTCAGTCACAACATCAGTCCCCTCAGCAGAACATCAGTCCCCTCAGCAGAACATCAGTCTCCTCAGCAGAACATCAGTCCCCTCAGCAGAACATCAGTCCCCTCAGCAGAACATCAGTCCCCTCAGCAGAACATCAGTCCCCTCAGTAGAACATCAGTCCCCTCAGCAGAACATCAGTCCCCTCAGCAGAACTTCAGTCCCCTCGCAGAACATGTCCCCTCAGCAGAAATCAGTCCCCTCAGCAGAACATCAGTGCCCTCAGCAGAACATCCGTCCCCTCAACAGAACATCCGTCCCCTCAGCAGAACATCCGTCCCCTCAGCAGAACATCAGTCCCCTCAGCAGAACATCAGTCCCCTCAGCAGAACTTCAGTCCCCTCAGCAGAACATCAGTCCCCTCAGCAGAACATCAGTCCCCTCAGCAGAACACCAGTGCCCTCAGCAAATGCCTTTCATGCCCGAAGCGCATCTGGCATCAGTGCCGCGTCTCTGCCCTGTCCCGCCAGTGCCAGTGTCCTCAGCATGCGGCACTTGGGACGCTGAAGAGGCAGGAGGGAGTAATTTGAACGGAAACTGAAGAAGGATATTTTTGTTTATTAATTCATTTATTTGTTTTATTACATGTATATTCGTTTGTTTATTCATTTACTTATTAAATAATTAATTATTATTATTGTTATCATTGTTATCATTGTTATTATTATCATCATCATTATTATTATTTATATCATTATTATATTATTATTATTATTATTATCATTATTTTATTATTATTATTATTATTATTATTTTTTATTTTTTTTTTTTATTTTTTTTTACGTTTGTTGGGAAGGCGATGGTTTGGAAAAGTAAGATCCAAAACTCACAGAGAATTATATAAACGATCATACGGGAATCAATATTTCGAAAAGAACCACTTTACGAATCACAAATAACTGTTTTTTTCGCTGTTCTTCAACGTATCGCTCCGGTTTTTCGTCAGACCTATATTTAATTCTGAATATGAATTTGAATCTTAGATCAGTTTGAAATAAAACGACTGAACCTGGCGATGATGTAATGACAGGGAGGAAAAGCCTCTCCTTCCCTCTCCCTGCCTCCCTTCCCTCCCAACCCTCTCTCTCCCTGCCTCCCTTCCCTACCCTCCCCGCCCCTCCCCCCTTCCTCCCAACAATCTCTCCTCTTTCCCTCCCAACCCTCTCTCTCCCTGCTTCCTCCCTTACCCTCCCGCCCTCCCCTTCCTCCAACAATCTCTCCTCTCTTTCCCTTCCAACCCTCTCTCTCCCTCCCTCCTTTCTCTCTCTCTCCCTCTCCCCTTCTCCTTCCTCTCCCCTTCTCCCCTTCCCTTCTCCCCCTCTCCCCTTCTCCCTCCCTCCTCCCTCTCCCTCTCTCTCCTTCCCTCCCTCCCTCTCCCTCTCCCCCCCTTCTCCCTTCCCTCCCTCCTCCCCTTCCCTCCCTTCCCTCCCTCTCTCTCCCTCTCCCTCTCTCATCTACCTCAACGACCAAACGACCAATTCAAACGACCGAATTAGAGAAGCTCGCCAGTCGTTACTCCACACCAATGGGGGAGGGGGGAGGGGAGGACGACATAAAAAAGGGGGACGGGGAAGGGAGGGGAGGGGAGGTTGTCAAATGTCGAAAGGGAGGGTGGGAGGAGGGAGGGAGGAGAGAGAGAGAGAGAGAGAGAGAGAGAGAGAGAGAGAGAGAGAGAGAGAGAGAGAGAGAGAGAGAGAGAGAGAGAGAGAGAGGAGAGAGAGGGGGGGGAAGGAAGGAGGGAGGGAGAGAGAGAGAGAGAGAGAGATAGAAAGAAGAGAGAGAGAGAGAGAGAGAGAGAGATAAGGGACGAACCTCATCACATCACACTTCTGATAAGACCTTCACTTGTCCTTGGAACTTGTCACGTGAAGAACCGCCTCCTTGTCCATCAGTCAATCAGTTGATCGACCTCTCTCTCTCTCTCTCTCTCTCTCTCTCTGTCTCTGTCTCTCAGTCTTTTTTCTCCCTCTCTATCGTTTATTCTCTCTCTTTCACTCTTTCTTTTTTTATCCCTTTCTATCGTTTATCTCCCTCTCTCGTTTCTTTTCTTTCTCTCTCTCGCTTTTTTTCTTTTTTTCCCTCCCACTCTGTAGTTTACCCCCCCCCCTCTCTCTTTCTTTCTTTCTCTCTCCCTTTCTGTAGGTTATCCCCCCCCCCTCTTCTCTCTCTCTCTCCCTCTCTCTCTCTCTCTCTCTCTCTCTCTCTCTCCCTCCCTCCCCAGAGTGCTCACCGCGAGTGCTGAGTCACTTCGCTCGTACATCCTCCCAAACAAAAGACGCGAGGGAGTGTCCCTTCCACGCCGGGCAGCCACTTGACTCCCTGAGAAAGACGCTGGAGAACCACCTGGGTCGGGCTGGAGGTGGAGGTTGGAGGGGGAGTCTTGGGTCGGGCTGGAGGTGAGGTTGAAAGGGGAGTCTTGGGTTGGGCTGGAGGGGATTTGGAGGGGGAGTCTTGGGTCGGGCTGGAGAAGGAGGTTGGAGGGGAGTCTAAGGTCGTTCTGGTCGGGCTGGAGGGATTTGGAGGGGGACTCATGGGTCGAGCTGGAGGCGGGGATTGGAGAGGGACCCTTGTTACACGAGAGAAACTCAGGAGGGTTATCCTTGCTACCCTAAAGGATCTCAGGAAGGGGAACCTTGCTACCGGAATAGAACTCAAGAAGGGGACCCCTGCTACACGAAAAGAACTCAAGATGAGAACCCCTGCTACACGCGGCCGGTTTGCTAAAAATGTGCGAAGCCCGTCCCAATGCATATTCATAAATAAAAACATGCATATACACAACAATAAATGCACATCTATCTATCTGATAGATATATACTTCTGTAAATATCTTTAAGATAGATATGAATGTCTAGAGTGATACATATGGATCTAATTCTGTGTATATATGTATGTCCGTATATATGCATGTTCATGTTCAAGATGGGGACATCTACACGAAAAGAACTGCTACACGAAAAGAACTCAGAAGGGGACCCCTGCTATCAAGAAGGGGACCCTGCTACACGAACGAAGAACTCAAGAAGGGACCCCTGCTACTCAACGAAAGGCACTTGCACAAAAGGAACTCAAGATGGGGACCCCTGCTACACGAAAAGACTCAAGGGGGACCCTGCTACCTCAAGGGGACCCCTGCTACACGAAAAGAACTCAAGAAGGGGCTACACGAAAAGAACTCAAGAAGGGGAACCCTGCACACGAAAAGGACCCTGCTGACTCAAGAAGGGGACCCCTGCTACACGAAAAGAACTCAGAGGGACCCCTGCTACGAAACTCAGAACCCTGCACACTGGGGACCCCTGCACACGAAAAGAACTCAAGAGGGGAACCTGCGAAGGAGGAAGGACCCTGCTACACGAAAAGAACTCAAGAAGGGACCCCTGCTACACGAAGAACTCAAGAAGGGGACCCCTGCTACACACGAAAAGAACTCAAGAAGGGGACCCCCCTGCTACACGAAAAGAACTCAAGAAGGGACCCCTGCTACACGAAAAGGAAACTTCAGGGGGACCCTGCTAACACGAAAAAGAACTCAAGAAGGGGACCCCTGCTACACGAAAAGAACTCAAGAGGGAACACGAAAAGAACTCAAAGGGGACCCCTGCTACACGAAAAGAACTCAAGAAGGGGACCCCTGCTACACGAAAAGAACTCAAGAAGGGGACCCCTGCTACACGAAAAGAACTCAAGAAGGGGACCCCTGCTCACGAAAAGAAACTCAAGAAGGGACCCCTGCTACACGAAAGGAACTCAAGAAGGGGACCCCCTGCTACACGAATCAAGAAGGGGACCCCTGCTACACGAAAAGGGGACCCTGCTAGAAAGGAAACTCCGGGGACCCCTGCTACAAAAGGAACTCCAGATGGGACCCCTGCTACACGAAAGGAACTCAAGAAGGGGACCCCTTCTACACGAAAAGAACTCCAGATGGGGACCCCTGCTACACGAAAAGAACTGGGGACACAGAAAGGACTCCAGATGGACCCCTGCTACATGAAAGGAACTCCGGATGGGACCCTGCTACACGAAAGGAACTCAAGAAGGGGACCCCTACACGAAAAGAACTCCAGATGGGACCCTGCTACACGAAAAGAACTCCAGATGGACCCCTGCTACATGAAAGGAACTCCGGAGGGACCCCTGCTACACGAAAGGAACTCAAGATGGGACCCCTGCCACACGAAAGGAACTGAAGACGGGACCCTGCTACAAGAAAAGGAATCCAGATGGGGACCCCTGCTACTAGAAAGAACTCCAGATGGACCCCTGCTACACGAAAGGAACTCAAGATGGGGTCCCTGCTACACGAAAGGAACTCAAGAAACACGAAAGGAACTCAAGATGGGGTCCCCTGCTACACGAAAGAACTCAAGATGGGGTCCCTGCTACTCAAGATGGGGACCCCTGCTACACGAAAGGAACTCCAGATGGGGTCCCTGCTACACGAAAGGAACTCCAGATGGGGTCCCCTGCTACACGAAAGGAACTCCAGATGGGGACCCCTGCTACACGAAAGAAACTCCAGATGGGGACCCCTGCTAACCTCAAGATGGGGTCCCCTGCTACACGAAAGGAACTCAAGATGGTCCCCTGCTACACGAAAGGAAACTCAAGATGGGGTCCCCTGCTACACGAAAGGAACTCAAGATGGGGACCCCTGCTACACGAAAGAACTCAAGATGGGTCCCCTGCTACACGAAAGGAACTCCAGATGGGGTCCCCTGCTACACGAAAAGGAACTCCAGATGGGGACCCCTGCTACACGAAAGGAACTCAAGAGGGGACCCCTGCACTCGAAAGGAACTCCAGATGGGGACCCCTGCTACTCGAAAGAACTCTGGGACCGAAAGAAAGGAACTGTCCACCCCTGCTACACGAAAGGAACTTAGGATGGGACTGCTACTCGAAAGGAACTCCAATGGGGACCCTGCTACACGAAAGGAACTTAGGATGGGGGACCCCTGCTACACGAAAGGAACTCCGATGGGACCCCTGCTACAAAAGGAACTCAAGAAGGGGACCCCTGCTACACGAAAAGAACTTAAGAAGGGGACCCCTGCTACACGAAAAGAACTTAAGAAGGGGACCCCTGCTACACGAAAAGAAACTCAAGAAGGGGACCCCTGCTACACGAAAAAACTCAAGAAGGGGCCCCTGCTACATGAAAGGAACTCCAGATGGGGACCCCCTTACACGAAAAGAACTTAAGAAGGGACCCCTGCTTGCACACGAAAGAACTCAAGAAGGGGACCCCTGCTACACGAAAGAACTCAAGAAGGGGACCCTGCTACACGAAAAGAACTCAGGATGGGACCCCTGCTACACGAAAAGAACTTAAGAAGGGACCCCTGCTACACGAAAGGAACTTAAGAGGGGACCCCTGCCACACGAAAGAACTAAGAAGGGGACCCCTGCTACACGAACTTAAGAAGGGGACCCCTGCTACACGAGAAGGGGACCCCTGCTCCCCCTGCGAAAAAGAACTCAAGAAGGGACCCCTGGAAAAGAACTCCCCCTGCTACACGAAAAAAGAACTCAAGATACCCCTGCTACGCGAAAGAACTCCAGATAGACCCCTGCTACACGAAAAGAACTCAAGATGGGGACCCCTGCCACACGAAAGGAACTCAAGATGGGGACCCCTGCTACACGAAAGGAACTCCAGATGGGACCCCTGCTACACGAAAATAACTCCAGATGGGGACCCCTCTAGAAAGAACTCCAGATGGGACCACTGCTACACGAAGGAACTCGAGATGAGGACCCCTTCTACAGAAAAGAACTCAGGATGGGGACCCCTGTCACACGAAAGGAACTCCAGATGGGGACCCCTGCTACACGAAAAGAACTAAAGAGAAGATCACAACGAGCGTCCTGCCCTCTAGCGGCAGAGGGGGGAAGTCTCCGTTTCGATTCCAATGCTTAAGTCCCCCACCTGTCGTGTTCAGCTGCACCTGCGGGCCTCCTGATCACGTTGACAGATGTTCATGACGAAAAC